GGGGCCCCCCCCCCCCCCCCCCCGTGCCTGACACCCACTGCCTTGCTTACCGGGCTCCGCTGCCCCTCCTGCGGGCTCGTGACCAGCATGTCAGGTGTCTGCAGGAAGCATACATAGGATCGTTCTTTCCTGGACAAATAGGGGAATTATTAGCTATCGGCAATGGGGGTAAGACAAGCCATTCTTTTGCTAGAATAACAGATCAAGACCCATAACTTCAAACTATGGAGAATTACGGGAGGATGGCCAAGTGGATTGTGGGAGCCAACTTAAATCTGTGTGATTGGGATTCAGTCACCATTCGGAACCTGCACCCAATGGGTGTCCTTAGTAGCATACAGAAGATTACACTGAGAGACCCTAGCTGCTGCCCGGTAGTATTTCTCTAGTTTGGAGACACTCAGGCCATCTTGAAATTTGCGTGTGTGAAAGTGGAGTGACGAATTCTGAGTTGTTGATGAGCCCAGATAAGTGAAAAGAATTGTCTGTGGAATAAATAATGGGTTGGAACTCGTATGGGTAGGGACCTTAAAGGAGAACTATGAGGTGAGTGAAAATCACTCACCCTCATACTTCGAGCCGACGAGTGACAATAAAAGTGTCACACGTCGGTTCAATAGATCGGGAAGTGAGCGAACGCATACCGGCGCTCGCTCATTTCTCCATCATCTCCCAGCAGAGAGTGGTGACTGTCAGTCATCACTCTGGGGGGGGAGCAGGCACAGCTGGCTCTGCCTCTAGATAGGCAGAGCCAGCTGTCACTCACGCAGCTGGGTGGATCTCGACAGTAATGGAGGTTAGTATATGTCCTCCCGTGACCCTTGAGAGAACTACGGGGGAAAAACACTTACCCCGTAGTTCTCTTTTAAATAAATTCAAAAGAGTCATTTTCACTGCATTAAAATGACCAATTCAGGACACATAAGCAAAGTTCCAGATCTGCAGGAGAGTGGACAAGTAAGGGGTAGTCATTTGCATTGAAAAAGGAGTAAGCTTAGCCCTCATATAATCCAAAGCTGAGCACCTCCAAGCAAGGGGCAATTAGGACCGAGTATAAGATACAACTTCAGGAGGAAGAGTGATATTAAGGATAGCGGATTAAGTCCGGTGAATCCTAAGACCAGGGAATTGGGTAAATTGGACCAGGAAATGGCAAAGATTGGGAAGGGTAATATGAGGGTTGGAGTCATAAGGGCATTGTATGCAAACAAGCTAAGTTCAAAGTCGAGGCTGGCATAGGTGACCCCCCACTGGCGGAACTACTCGTGCCGCTCCTTTCCTGCCACACAGCCACCCGCAGCATGTACGGGTGGCTGTGCAGCAGGGATGGAGAGGCTGTCATTGGTTCCGCAGAATGTGCTGCAGGCACCGCCGGGCAGCACATTCTGCTGTGTGAGGACCCTCTCCTCTTAGCTCTGGTTAGCTCTGCCCCCTGGCCACCGAGAAGAGGAAGAGGGCCCTACAGGAGAGGAAAGGTAAGTCTGGAGTGGGAAGGGGAGGGGATGCTGGTGATATAGTGCTCACTTTTATTACAATGCATTGCTGGGACATGTAGTCCCGCATAGCTGGTGGTATTCTGCATTGCTGTATGATGATTATACAGCAATGCAGAATAGCTCCAACTATGTAGGACTACAAGTCCCAGCAATGCATTATATTTTTAAGTAGGGATACACCACTGCCAATACTGGGCATTTTCAGAAGTACTCATACTCGTGAAAATGCCCCGATACTAAACGCAGATACCGGTGTTCTGTCGAGAACGCCGACATAGTCGAATTTTCCGACCTCAGCATCTGCGCTTGCGCACAGACCAATATTATCGAGGAAACCGGGATTTATTTACAAAGTATTTTGTTTAACTCGTTAATTGTGACCGTTAATAATATTCCATCCGTCATTTACTGCCATGGACGGCATATTATCAACGGTCACATTTAACAATTACAAATGAATACTTTGTAAATAAATGTCGGTTTCCTCGTTAATCCCGTCTGTAAGTAAACGCAGATACTGGGTCAGCGTTCTTGACAGAACACAGGCACTACAGGGCCTTCATGGTTTGTTGCACCGGGGCCCTGAAGGTTCTAGTTATGCCTCTGATGACCCCTGAGATATCCTGGTTTTCCCTAATGGCCAGAGGCTCTAGGGTGAGAATAAACAGAAAGAGGAAAATCGGGCAGCCTTGCCTTATGCCACAGTGTATTTGAAAAGGTTGATAATGGTACCTCACATGTTGCCCCATGGCCAAGGGGTTGGAATTCAAAGCAGCAACCCAGGCAAGAAGAGTGTCCCTAAATCCCTATATGCAGATTAGATATTTACACAAGTCTCAGGACAGGGAATCAAATGCTTGGTACATGTCAAGGGATAAAAGAGATCCGGGGACTCTGCGTTGGTATAACAGGTGAATAAGGCGAACCACCTTCCGGACATCATTGTTGGCCTGACGCCCGGGGACAAACCCTATCTGCTCTCTATGTAGACTGTAACTGTTTATTAATCCTGGATCCCAAAATTCTGTCCACATTCAGTAAGGATATGGTGTGGAGGGCAGACTCGGGTTTAGATATGTAGCAGGCAGGGGCGTAACTAGAAATCACAGGGCCCCATAGCAAAATTTTGTATGGGGCCCTGTGATTTCTAGTTATACCCCTTGCAGAGCCCACTCGAGATCCCACCTGAGGGTGAACTTGCAGAGCCCACCATAGACTCTCTATGCAGGGTCACCCTCAGGTGGGCTGGTCGCACTCCTTACCTGTCCTCTTCCTCCTCCGTCGCCGGGCCCGCCTCCTTCTTCGTCCCCGGGCCCCCGCCTCCTCCCCTGCTGCCGACCACGGGCTCCGCCTCCTCCTCCACTGCCGGCTCTCATTGACTCTGTGTAGAGGAACGAGCTGCTGCGCAGATTACTGTCAGTGATCTGAACAGCGCCGTGTTCGTCTTCAGCCGCCAGTGAAAGCCGCCAGCAGAGGATCCCATAGCGACCCAGACGGCCCGCACGGCATCTGACCGGGCCCCACTGTTCCCCCGGGCCCCATAGCGGCCGCTTGGGTCGCTATGGTGATTGTTAGGCCACTGGTAGCAGGTATGGGTTTGTAGAGAAAGAGGGGCTGGGCAGGACCCATTTTTAAAAGCACAAAAAAAAGATTAACCAAAAGGGAGGAGTGTTTTTGATAACTAATGTGAACCCATCAGGGCCTGGTGTTTTCGAAATGTTTAAGGATTTAATAGCTGAGAGATATCAACATTTAAGGTCTTCTCAAGTGCCTTCTGCGATGGTTGGAAGAGTGAGATTTTGGAGAAACTGGTCCTCGGGGAAAAGTAGGCGGTTGGCCATACAGAATGGTGCAAAAGTCTGCAAATTTGAAGACTATTTTGGAAGGGTCAGAGGTGAGATCACCAACAGAGGAATGCAGCCTCATGGGAGTGAAAGGCATTGCAGTAGATTTAAGTCAGCTGGACAGCATTGGGCCAGGTTTGTTACCCCAACACATGTAGTATTCATGTTTGGACGTGCACGAGGCTTTTTCGGCTCTAACCATGAGCAAAAAGCTCCAATTCTGTAGCAGATTCTCCCACCATTATTTGACACTCAACACGATAATGGGTTAAAAAGCAATCTAGGACAGAGTACTACACTATTAATACATATACTGCCTGGCCAAGAAAAAAAAAAGTTGCCACCTGGATTTCGCTGAGCAAATAGGTGAGAGCTAGAAGAATTGCTTCAGTTGGTCAGCAACATTATGTTCCCAAAAAAATTAGGTCATCTGCCGACCTGAATATATTAAATTACCAGGTCTTCATCGAGCTCAAATTGTGACAGAGTGGTTCAGGGAACATGAGACATCATTTTCACACACGGATTGGCCACCACAGAGTCCAGACCTTTACTGCCTTGAGAATCTTTGGGATGTGCTGGAGAAGACTTTACACAGTGGTCAGACTCTCCCATCATCATTGAGATGTCACTTTTCTACTCCACAGAAGCTACTGGAGGGCAGATTGTGCTCCGATAGCTTCTTCCCCTGTTTCTGCCACCGGGGAATGACAGATCAGGGACCAGAAATGATGCAAAGTGATGGAATAGGATGTCCTGAAGAGGGAAGTTTTCAGGAATCGCCCAAAGGCAGATAGATTAGGAGATAGCCAGGTTGTGACGGAGTTCCAGAGGATGGGAGAGGCTATATGGCCACTGTATAGGGACCTGGCCATCACACCCACTATAAAGACATAGGTATGTATATGCCCCAGCAAAGGAGTTCAGATGTTTAGGGTACTGTTAATATTCCATCATACAAAGACATTGTTTAGAATTGGACTCTTCCAGTCTTGTGGTAACAGTTTGGTGAAGACCCTTTTCTGTTCCACCATGACTGTCCCCTGTGTACAAACACAGCTCCATAAAGACATGAAGCCCTCCTGACCATCTTGTCTTGAATTGTATTGTAACGTTACTGTCTTCCTATATATTGTAAAGCACTTAACAAACTGTTGGCACTATATAAATCCTAAAACATAAAATAATAAAGACATGGTTTGCCCAGTTTGGTGTGGAGGAACCCAGGTGTCCTCCACAGAGCCCTGACCTCAACCTTACAGAACGCCTTTGGGATAACTTAGAACACCGATAGTGAGCCAGATCTTCTCATCCAACATCAGTTTCAGACCCCACAAATACCCTTTCGGCTAAATGGACACAACTTCCCAAAGACAACCTCTAAACTCATGTGGAATGCCTTCCCAGAAGAGATGTTATAGCTGTGAAGAGCCATATTAATGTCCATAGAAGTACTCAAACGTAGAGAAGATAGGATATGACAGGATACTCGCCCAGTGTGCCGCCCCAATAGGGGCATAGAATATGAGATGCATAGCCTCAGTTAATATTAGCATTGTTATATAGGTTAGAATTTATAAAGTGTGATTTGCCTAACTATTTTCTCATAGCTAAATCCATGTGTTATCCTATGCTGCCATCTAGTGGCCTTTTGTTGTAATGTACATGTTTTTCTGTAATTATTCCTCATGTGACGACGTATTTCCCCCTAGTGTACGCCCCTTCCTGCTTCCTGTGTGCAGTACTTCCTGTGTCATGGCCAAAGCTAGCAAGCCACATGTAACAGGACACACATATAATCTGCACAGTACGTAGGAAAGGCATCATTTTCTGACCGCACAATACTATCACCATTCATCTGCTGTTCCTGCCATCTGCTGTAACCCTGATGTTAAAGAATAAACACCTCTTTTGAATGAATCAGTATTGACAAGTTCAGCTATCTGACGAGGATTGTCCGCAGTGAGTATATCTGCTTATACAGGCCAGGCATAGAGGTCTCAGAAAGGGATATATTTCGCTATCACAACGATCGGAGTCAGAATACCCAGCGTCAATGATAGATGGTCTCCGCACTAATCCTGTTGCTTATTCTACCACGAAATGGGTTGCGCATTGTTTTAAACTTTTTATTAAAGTTTTAATGTATCAAGACAATCCAGACTCATCTCCTTCTTTACGGCTGCTCCTATAGGTTGTGAGCCACTGCTGATAACCTACAAAGGTCCTCTACTCTAAACTTAGATATTAATGCCCATGGTTCTGGAATAGGATGATCAACATGCACGTGTATAGGTGTGATGGTAAGGACTCCAGACCTCTACAAACATTTGGATTTATAGTGTACCTCTGGAGGACTCTATTGGTGAGAATTCTGACCTGGGTTCCCAGATTTGCACACCTGCTGTGTCCATCCTGATGGGTTCCCACCATTCCTCCTGGATATTTGTATTTCTAGTCCTGGGTTCCCGGATTTGCACACCTGCTGTGTCCATCCTGATGGATTCCCACCATTCCTCCTGAATATTTGTGTTTCTACTATGAAGTATGTAACAGGAGGAGCCTGGAACACACAAAGAGAGGCCAGGAACACCCAAAACTCCCTGGTGGTCAGAATAGGAGATCTCACTGTGGGATTATCCAAGACATAAAGGAAGCCATGGCACCTCAGACAACAGGAACAGCTCTTATATGAGCTGATTTTTATTTCTGTGCATTATGGGGGAAAAAATGGTTGCTACTCACTCTACATTGTGTGTCACATATAGGAACCACTCTGCTGGAATATAAAGCCAGAGGGCAAATACTGCACTTCAAGACCATGCATATATACGCTTACTCTAGCAAATATGTGTACAGCACCGACACCATCCTCACACAGTGATCACTGCCTGCAAATGGAAGAAAACTCACAAAATACAGTACAGTGCGAGTGCTGGGAATGTTTATATTATATGTTGTATCCTAAAGGATACAAAACTTCACCAGACAAGTATCATACGTATATGCAATGTAACCAATAGATATAGAGATGTACTTCATATGTCAGCACTTTTTAATTTAATTCACAGACATCATACATACATCTAATGTGTACACTACACACACATATACAGTATATATAGATCTTTGTACATCCTGGAATACAGGGGGCACAGGGCTCCATGTCTCAGAGATGGCAGATGCCCTCACACCAGCAGGCGATGTCACCCTGTGCTGCTGCTTCTATAATTATCTATAGATTTATATATATCTGGGATATAGATAGCTGTCAGCGATCTATTCCTGGCCATATGCTTTGCAGCTGCTCCTCCCTGGGAGACTACAAATCCCGTGATCCCCCGGGGCTGGCCGGACTCGGCGCCTGCGCACTGCCCCTCCTCTCTGTCTCTTCTTCTCCCGCATCCTCGTCTGCAGCATCAGCACCAGCGCGAGGGGGACAGCATCATCATCATCATCATCACCATCCCCAGCACCACCGCCGGCTGCAGCATCCCGGAGCCTAGCTCCCTGCAGCCGCCCCCCTGAGCAGTCCCTGTGCCAGGCTCCCTGTGCCGTGTGTGTGCCGTGTCCCCTCTGTCCTCCCTCTTCTCCCCCTCCCCGGACTCTGCAGCAATAGGGGGAGTCAGCAGCAGCAGCAGAAGCAGAGAGCGCAGCATCCCCTGCACCAAGGATGAAGGACCGGACCCAGGAGCTCA